TTATCTAGTGCCAGCAGCTCCCCACGGAGAATGGAAAGCTGGTCCTTTCTCCCCACACCGGGAAGGGAGGAGCATGAATCCCCTTGGCAGGGCACTACTGCGATCCCCTGGAGAATGTGTGAAGCTGTAGCTTTCTAGTAGCTTAAGCTTCTTAGTGTCTGATTTCTTTTGCGTCCTTCTTTTATTAATACCCAGCTACTTATGCTAACAGTTGCACCTGGGCCACAATGGCATTTATTACCTGAATCTCTTGGGCCCCTACTTTACCAGAGAGACTATGATGTCTCTCCTGTATCTGGTATCCACACTTGGATCCTGATTTCCAAAGTTCTCAAATTCTTTGGGCATTCCCATTCCCCAGGACACAGGCACCAGATAAATGGGCAGAGGTCCCCTAGGAGAATGGGGAATATTGTTATCATTATTTTTTGAGCCAGAGTTGCTGGGTCCTTTGTCTTGAGATCCTGCTCTCCCTTCTGGGAGACAGGTTCAGGGTCCCAAACTGGTTCAGATCAAGGTTAGGCATTGTAACATTTTATCATGATTTCCTCTCAGCTTCCTGCTAATATCTTAGATTCTATTTGATTGTTTTCTCCCCACCTCTTGTTACCCTACAGATGCCCCGTTGTATTCAACATCTTCAGAATTCTTTCTGATCAGGCCCAGCTAGCTGTGACTCCAACCTGTTATGAAATGAATATGTGTGTTCTCCAAAAATTCATTTGATGAAATCCTAACCTTCAATATGTATTTAGTGATGGTATTTAGTTATGGATCTTTGGGAGGTAATTAGGTGACAAAAGTGGGACCCTCATGCATCTGATCACTGCCCTTATAATTAAGAATAGTGAGAGCCCCTCCCACCCTTTCCACCAAGTGAAAACACAGGAAGAAAGCAGCTGTCTGTACAGCAGCGAGAGAGCCTTTACCAAAAATCTACCAACAATGGCACACTGATCTCAAAATAAAAGCCTCCAGAACTAGAAGATATGAATACTTGTTTTCTTTTTTTTTTTTTGTAATGGGATGTCCTGTTAGAAAACTTATACACTGTAATTGCAAGTCAAACAGTGCCACAAGATATCAGAATTTCATCTGTTTCCACTTTAGTAAAAAGAACTGCCTAATCCTAGAAAGTATATGAAAATATATGTGATTTCCCATTAAGTTGCACAGGCATCCATCTTAAGCAAGAAGACATTTGCATTCTCAGAAACCAAAGAAATGCAGCATGTAATCAAGTGAGAGAGATGCAACTAAGAGTGAATATATTATTATTAAAGTGCCTAACAATCCTGGCTATGTGACCATCTCCTTTGAGTAATGGACTTTTTTGACACAGCAATTATAAGTAAGGTTTGGCGCACTCTATTAGGATTATAACTGAGAATCTAGTCAGTGTGCCAGCTGAAATCTCTCATTGCAGATATAACTGGATATGCACAGAAGGCAACCTCCAAAATTATATGGGATGATATAATAGTTTCTGTAGTTTCAATAAAATTTCCCCTGAATGTCTGCAGATCCAGACTTCATGTTGCATCTAAATATTCAGGGTTAAATACATTCAAATAACTGAGATGGTAATTGTTTTCCTTAAGGTCAACCTCAGGAAATTTTAGAAGTACAAAATGTTTAAGAGAATCAAAGCCATTAAATTAATATTTTTGTTTTAATAGATCTGTGCAAAAATGATATACATTTAATATGTAACAGCATTTGGCCCTTTCCTTTAGATTGCCTTGTAAACACAATTTAAAATAAATAATTTATTTAGAATTGTGATTTTTAAGTTAAATGTGACTATGCTCATATATACAATTAGCTCATTTAAGTGAACTAAAGGCTTTTATAAATTTATATTTATAATTTTGAGTATATATTTAGTTTTTATATTTATTTTTAAGTATATTTTATTGATTATGCTATCACAGTTGTCTCATTTTTTCCTCCCCTTTACCCCACCTTGCCCTGCACCCCTCCTCCCTCCAACATTCCCCCCACTTAGTTCATGTCCATGTGTCATGCATGTAAGTTCTTTGACTTCCCTATTTCCTATAGTATTCTAAACCTTCCCCTGTCTATTTGGTACTTACCATTTATGCTTCTTATTTCCTGTACCTTTTCCCCATTCTCCCCCACCCCCACTGATAACCCTCCATGTGATCTCCATTTCTGTGATTCCGTCCCTGTTCTAGTTGTTTGCTTAGTTGTTTTGTTGTTGTTGTTGTTTTTAAGGTACATTTGTTGATAGTTGTGAGTTTGTTGTCATTTTAATGTTCAGTTTTTATCTTCTTTTTTCTTAGATGAGTCCCTTTAACATTTCATATAATAGGGGCTTGGTGATGATGAACTCCTTTAACTTGACCTAATCTGGGAAGCACTTTATCTACCCTTCTATTCTACATGAGAGCTCTGCTGGATAGAGTAATCTTGGATGTAGGTCCTTGCCTTTCATGATTTTGAGTATTTCCAGCCCCTTCTTGCCTGCAAGGTTTCTTCTGAGAAATCAGCTGATAGTCTTATGGGAGCTCCTTTGTAGCTAACTCTCTTCTTTCCTCTTGCTGCTTTTAAGATTCTCTCCTTACCTTTAATCTTGGGTGATTTAATTATGATGTGTCTTTGTGTGTTCCTCTTTGGGTCCAACTTCTTTGGGACTCTCTGAGCTGCCTGGACTTACATGCCTATTTCCTTCACCAGATTGGGGAAATTTTCCCTCATTATTTTTTCAAATAATTTTTCAATTTCTTGCTCTTCCTCTTCTTCTGGCACCCCTAAGATTCAGATGTTGGAATGTTTAAACAGAGGTTCCTAAAGCCTCTCCTCATTTTTTTGAATTCTTGTTTCTACATTCTGTTCCAGTTGAATGTTTATTTCTTCCTTCTGTTCCAAATTGTTCATTTGAGTCTTGGTTTCCTTCCCTTCACTGTTGGTCCCTGTATATTTTACTGTATTCACTTTATATAGCCTTCATTTCTTCCTTTATTTTGCATCCATTCTCAATCATTTCTGTGGACTTCCTGATTACCAGCGTTTTGAAATCTGCACCTGATAGGTTGTCTATCTCCTTGTCACTTTGTTCTTTTTCTGGAGTTTTGATCCCTTCTTTCATTTGGGCCATATTTCTCTGCCTCAGCACACCTGTTACTTTGCAAGCAGCAGAGCCTTAGGTATTCACCAGGGTGGGGCAACCCATTTAGCTGTGTTGTGCTGCTGTATGTGGGGAAGGGGTCAGAGAGGGAACAATGCTGCTTGCTCAGCTCTTGTCCAGCTTTCAGTCATGTTCTCTATTACCTAGAAGTTAATTGGGCTCTTATGGTGCTGATTCCTGGGTGGTTGGACTTGAATATGTTCTAGGACCCCCTGAATCCCTCCAACAGACTCTCCTGTGAGACTGGGAGTTTCTCCCACTGCCACTACACCCACAGATTTTTACAGCCAGAGATTTTGAGGCTTTATTTCTCTGGTCTGGGACCCTGGGTTATGTGGTATGTCTCACTCCCCAGTTATTCCTCCTGGTTTATCCACACGTGAATGTGGGACTGACTGGTCTGCCAGGGGCCACCTCACCTGCCTGGTCCACCTGCCTCCACTTCATGTCCTCTCTGCCCCCGTTGCCCTTCTCTGCACCTCTTACCAGTCTGGATGAATGTTTCTTCTTTAACTCCTTGGTTGTCAGACTTCCATATAGTTAGGTTTTCTGGCAGTTCTGGTTGTTTTTTGTTTTTAAATTGGTTTCTGTCCTATTTTCATTGTCAAATATTTGTTTTCTAAGCCACAAAATATATGATAACTTTTAATGGCAGCCTGAGCTATGATAAACCATGATGCTCATTACTATTGTTGTATGTTCTTGGCCTCTGATATTTAGTGGTAACACCTGGTCTCCATCTGTAAAGGCTTATCATCCCCTGCACTAGCAGGGGCATCTAGTCCTGCAATGGCACATGTCATTTTGGCCCTTGCCTATGACAGAGAGGTCACCACTGCACTTTTAACAATGATGGGATCCCTCTCACCAGTGCATAGTCTTATGTTTGGGAATTCGTTTCTAATACCATGAAAGTGTAATTCAAAGACAGGAAGTACAGGCTACTGATATCTCTAGATGAAATTTCAAAGAAAGGCAAGAAAGTGTATATCTCAGTTCTGAAGCAAATATAAGGGATTAAGAACAGGCCTAAATGAAAACAAGATTAGGATGCAAACTTTATACTTTCTATAGTTTGATCTTAATCTTACACCCCTCACTGTACAGGCTGATGTAATTTCTAGAAGTAATGAGTACTTTCATCATCTAATAGCCATTTTTTACATTTTTTTGTTATTAGTATTACACTTTCCATTTTATGTTATTTATTTTTGAAATGGTAATGCAAGCTTTCTTTACAGTATTCAAAAGAAAGAATATAAAATGAAAACCATGTGACTTGGTCACCCCTGATTCCACCCAGTTCCCCCGAGTAGGAACCAATATCACTAGCTTCTAATGAGCATTCCCAGACCTATTCAATGTGTACATATGTATGAGTGCACACAGTATACTTTTTTCCAGTAAACACATGATACACACCTCATGTGCCTCATTTTTGCCCTTTACAATATATTTTCAAGATTATTGTATAATTATAAAAATAGAGCTGCACTGAAAATTTATTCACTGGATGCATAGTGTTCCAGTATATGCACATGCCAAATTTGTATTACCAATTTCCATAGATGAATACATAAGTAGTTCCCAACCTTTTGTCATTTAAAGTAATGATGCAATGGATTATTTGTAAGTATATTTATATGACTTTAAATATGTATATTTCATAAAGTAAACATGTTATATCAAAGTGTAGGTGCATTTATTTTATCTAATGAAGGCTAAGCATTGATATCCTCTAGTAGGCACTTTTAATGTTTAGAACTTAGATGAATGAAATAAAGCAGAACACACACCAAAAGCAAGCAAAAGCATATATTTACATTCTACAATTTCTTTAAAAGGAGAACTATTTCTTTTTAAATAATGAGCTTATGCCCTTTATAACACCACCAATAAGTTTAGCAGGACCAAACAATATTGAAGTGAGTTCACTGCCAAGTCTATCTATGGCGCTTACAATCCAGGGAGTATCATCATTTTTAGTAGTATCAATCATATTTTTCAAATGATTTATCTCTGCACTCATCTCTTCAGATTTCTTTTTAAATCCATCTTTAAGCAGTTCTTCTTGAACCTAAAACAAAAAAGTTTGAGAGAAGTAAACCTTTTTAAACTCCAGAATTTTTTCCAGAATTATATTTAGTATTCAAAATGTGTTCTCAAATATTTGAAATATTTTTCTTTCACTCCTAAAATTGTCTCTTTTACATCAAGGGGAATTTTGCAACAAGAAATAGGTCCTGTCTTGGGCCTAAACACTGAAAAAAAGCTTAATTCACAGCTTGACAAATGTTCACACACAAATAGGGTTTTGCTAGGATGCTAAGTCTGGCCTGAGTACAAATGTATTATGTTCCAGACAAATTACACCAGTTGATAGGTAGCCTTGATGTGCTGACACTAATTCTCAGTCCCACTTGGAATAACATGGTTAACCAAAATGTAAAAATAGTCAGAACTTAAGCTTTGTTCTAGGACTCCATTATAAGCATGTCCAGATGGAAATCAGGAATGCTTCCTTTGCCATTGAATAACTTGGGGAAACAACGCATGCCTGGGGAAATGCAGCAAATTTAAAAGCTGTCGTTTCCCTGTGTTTTGAAGTATGGTCATTTCTGATATTTTATTATTAGCATAGATCTACCTTAGGGTCTTTAGGTGCTAGTTGGGTTCCAGTTAATTGGTGATGATAGTGGTAAAGCAATCCAGTTGCTGGTTATAATAAATACATGTGTTTGAAATAGCTATTTAATCAGACTATGTAAGTCACTTAAGGACTCTGGTCAAGATGGCAGTGTAGATAAACATGGCTCGCTTCTTGCACAACCATATCAAAATTACAACTAAACTATAGAACAACTATCATTCAGAATGGTCAGAAACTGAGCTGAATGGAAGTCTTCTAACTACAGAATTAAAGAAGACCTCACATCAAGACTGGTAGAAGCAGTGGAGATGTGAAATGGACTGGCCCCAAACCCACATGCGGCAGATAAAAATTGGGAGGCATACCTCAGGAGCAAGGGGTCCCAGCCCCACACCAGGCCCACCCATCCCAGGGTTCCAGTGCCAGGAAGATAAGTCTCCATAATTTCTTACTATAAAGCCAGCAGAGATTGAGGCTGTAGGAGACAGAAACTACTGGAATTCCAGGCAGACCCTCTTGAAAGATCCATACTCCTTCTGAGCTCCAGCATGGGGGCAGAAGATTTAAAGGCATCAACGACATATGGGGAGGAACTTGGGGGCAGCTTTCTCCAAGACAGAAGTGCTGGCAGAGGCCATTGTTCCTTTCTGAGCCATCCCCCAACAGAGCCACAAAGCCAGCAGGCAGGCATCATATCTGAGACTCCATCACCATGGTTCACACTGTTTGCCATAGTGATTCCATGAGGTTCTACCCCACCAAGCTTTCAGGCCCACCCAAGCTGTTTCCAGTGGCTTTTTCATATGAGTGGCTTATCTTGGCCCATGGTTCATATTTTTCTAAATTCTCTCAAACAAGCAGCATCTGGCTTCAGGAAGCCACCTAGTACTCACTAAGATGTCCCAGGCCTGGCACTAGTATGAGCCAGCCTTGGTTCACAGCTTGTGCTCTCCAGTGGACCTTTAAGCCCAGCATCAGTAGCAGACTATCTGCAGATCACTTTATACCTTATGCTGTGTGACCACAGAGAGAACATAGGCAGAGGCTGACTTTGGACATGCCAACAGCAATCAATGCCCAACTACAAGAGGACAGTGTACACAGCCTATAATGTGGGTGCACCTTGAGTACCCAGTTTGGGTGACAGGGGAAGCTGTGCCAGTGGACCATAAACGACACCTGCTACATTAAGCCACTCTATCAAGCCTGATAGACAGAATAGCTCTACCCAATACATAGAAATAAACACAAGGAGGCTGCCAAAATGAGGCACAAAGAATCAGGGCCCAAATGAAAGAACAAAACAAAACTCCAGAAAAATAACAAAAATGGAGAAAAGCAACCTGTGTGATGCAGAATTCGAAACAATGGTTATAAGGATGCTCAAGGAACTTGGTGAGGACCTCAACAGCACAAAAAATATCCATTCGGAAACTAAGGATGCACTAATTGAAATAAAGAACAATTTACAGGGTATCAACAGTAGAGTGGATGAAGCCAATAATCAAATCAGTGATTTGGAACATAAAGAAGCAAGAAAACTGATCAGAACAGCAAGAAGAAAAAAGAATCCATAAAAATGATCATAGTGTGAGGAGCCTCTGGGACAACTTCAGGCATGCCAACATTCACATCATAGGGGCGCCAGAAGGAGAAGAGAAAGAGTAAGAAATTGGAAACCTATTTAAAAAAAATAATGAAAGAAAACTTCCTTAATTTGGTGAAAGAAATAGACATGCAAGTCCAGAAAGCACAGAGAGTCCCAAACAAGATGGATACAAAGAGGCCCACTCCAAGAAACATCATAATTAAAATACCAAAGGTTAAAGATAAAGAGAGAATCTTAAAAGCAGCAAGAGAAAAGCAGATAATTACCTACAGGGAATTTCCATAAGACTGCTGATTTCTCAAAAGAAACTTTGCAGGCTAGAAGGGATTGGCAAGAAATATTCAAATTCATGAAAAGCAAGGACCTATAGCCAAGATTACTCTCTCCAGCAAAGCTATCATTTAGAATCAAGGACAGATAAAGACTTTCTCAGTCAAGAAAAAAAAATAAAGAAGTTCATTACTAACAAGCCACAATTATATGAAATGTTAAAGGGTCTTCTAGATGGAGAAGGAGGGGGAGAAGAAGAAGAAGGAGAAAATGAAAAATAAAGTGGCAATAAGTATATATCTATCAATAGTTGAATCTAAAAAACAAAATACACAAACAAGCAGAACAGAAACAGACTCATGGTTACAGAGAAGATTTTGATGGTCGCTGGGTTGTGAAGTGGATGAGTGAAAATGTGAAGGGATTAAGAAGTACAAATTGGTAGCTACAGAACAGTCCTGGGGATGGAAAATACAGCATGGTGAATAGAGCAGCCAAAGAACATATATGCATAACCCATGGATATGGACAATGATGGGAGGATTGCCTGAGGGAGTGCAGGGGTGGAAGCACAGGGACCTTAGTGGAGGGAGACAAAGGGAGAGATATTGAGACAACTGTAATAGCATAAAAAATAAAATAATTAAAAAATAAAAAAGAATATTTATTAAGAGAAATAAAAATATCCCCAAATAACACCTGAAACCTTATTTATATTCTTCAATGATTCAGTAAGCCACCTACTAGTCCTGACACACCATAGTGTACAATAGAATAGATTTCAAAGACACTTTTACAATGAAACTAAAGAACAAGGGGAAAGATTCAAGGTTTTAATACATCACAAGCAGTAAATATGCTTCCCTCCATGATCTGGTTGTAACTTTCTCCACCCCACCTGAGGACAATGACAATCAAGCACTAATGTGGTCACGGCAGGACTTACCTTCAGTTTATGCTCCAACATCATATTCTGCTCTTTTATTATGTTCTCTCTGTCTCGTTCCAGCTTGTCCTTCAGTTGGGCTATGTTTTCCTCAAGGCTCTTCTTCTGAGCCTCCATCTGCTGCTGCTGCTCCTGTAGTTTCTGTCTCATCAGCTCCTGCTCCTTCTCAGCGGCCTCCTTCCTGGCCCGTTCCTCTGTCCCAGGGAGGGTGGAGAGAGGGAAGAAAAGTAAGTGAGGTCTGATCTCTACCCTCCTGAGCTCACAGACTGAACCAAACCAGAGGGGAGGTGGGAAATCTCTGAACCACCCCCTTGACCCCACCATCAACAGCACATTTCAGGATGTCAAGGGAAAGGCTCTGACTGGCTGATGACCCCTGATTATTTTCAGATTTTGGAGAATCTGTTCCACAGAAGAAAAAGAGCTCCTTGTTTCAGGAAGGTTGTGTACTGACTCCTGTCAAGGACACTGCCCTGCCCCTTACCTGCCATGGCCTTCTCCACATCTGTGAGCGCTTTGTCTGCCTGCAGGATGGATTTCTCTATTGCCACCTGCGACTGCAGGAAGCTCTGCAGGACTTCATTACCCTAAGGAAACAGGAAGGAGCAAAGAACTTTGATTTCCACTGGGAAGAATACTGCTACAAGAACAAGTCAGTCCATGTACTTTTTCCTTCATGATTAAAACTGTATCTTGGCTCCACACACAGTATCCAAGCTCCTTAGAGTGACTAGAGGTTCTCCATACCCCCTGCCTCCTGTCTCCCTCCCGTCTCCATCCCAGTACAATTTCCTTCCCACACACTAGGTTCCAGCCAGTGAGAACCATGGTCAGGTCTACAGACCCACTGTCTCCGGTGCTTTTTATATATATTTCCTTTCCCAGGGTGAAATATCTCTAGTTAATGCTGTTCCTCCCCTCTGCCACTTGCTGACTGTATCTCTATGCAACTCATTTTAATCTGTCTCTGCCTCTCAGTTCAGATGTGTAAAATGTTCACAAAAAGTGTGGATGCTTTTTAATGCTACTTGGTGGATTAATTTAAAACACCTGGAGAAAGAGCTTAAAAGATGCTCAGCATCACCAGCCATCAGAGAAATGTAAATTAAAACCACAATTAGACACCACTTCACACTGGTCAGAATGGCCATCATAAACAGATCAACAAACAACAAGAGCTGGTGAGGTTGAAGAAAAAAGGGAACCCTAGTACACTGTTGGTAGGAATGCAGACTGATGCAACCACTGTGGAAAACAGTTTGGAATTTCCTAAAAAAGCTAAAATTGGAACCGCCTTTTGACCCAGTGATTCCACTGCTGGGATTATACCCTAAGAATCCTGAGACACCAATTCCAAAGAACCTATGCACCCCAATGTTCATAGCAGTACAATTGACAACAGCCAAGTGGTGGGAGCCACGTAAGTGCCCATTAATAAATGAGTGCATCAAAAAGCTGTGGTACATTTACACAATGGAATACTACACAGCAGAAAGAAAGAACTATTACCCTTTGCAACAGCATGGATAGAACTGGAGAGCATTATGCTAAGCAAAATAAGCCATGGGGTGAAAGACAAATACCATATGATCTCACCTATTAATGGAACCTAATCAACAAAACAAACAAGAAAAATATAACCAGCAACATTGAAAGAAAAAACAAACCAACAGTAACTAGAGGGAAGGAAGGAGGTGGGTAACGGGGAAAAGAAGAGGAAGGGTCAAATGAAGGAACATGTATAAAGGACCCATGGACAAAGCCAAAGTGGGGAAGGATTGAGGGTGGGAGTGGGAAGGGCAAGGGAAAGTGGTGGCAGGAAAACGGAGACAAATGTATTTGAACAATAAAAAAATACAATAAAAGATATGCCTATGATGGTAACAATTAAAAATATATTAGTACATCATCATTATTATTATTTTTAATATTATATTTACCACCACCTATGTAGCCAATTTTCTCAGGTTCATAAATATTATGACCCTACATGCAACTGTCTACATGGTTGACTTCCTTTTCTCTTTGGATCAGCTTTGAATATGAAGATTCTGACTATAAACTGTAAATTGTCTGCCCTTGGCACACTGTATGTCATGTTGCTGCATGAAGAAATGATTGATTCTCTTCTGTCTTTTATGGCTTTCAGAAATCCATATTCAGTTTTAAGAATGGACTTTTATACTCAGGAAGAAAAACCAAATAATGGACCTTAAAAGCTAAAGCTATCATGATATCCCCATGCCAAAATGGGTGCTGTGCTCTCAGATTTTCAGGAGACCTTCCTGATTTTAATTTGTAGGATCCTATGCTCCCATATTCCTCACCTTCACTCCTTTCCTGGGCACATTACGATAGTCCTGTTCAATCCTTTCCTTTGTTTCCAAGTAGAGCTTGTGACCACCAGGAACAGAGAAAGTTCCTGCTGAAATACTTTCCATGAGGGCCATTGAAAGCTGATCAAGCTTAGCCTGGCAATATTTAACCGATGCCTCTTCATTCTGCAGCATGAAATCATCCTTCTTATCCTTTATGATTTCCTGCAAGGGAAGAAGAGAGGGATGTCACCAAAAGAAAGCAACAGAGCAGATAAAATTCCAGAGAATCTGGCAGAAGGAAGTCTAGCTCTGGTCCTTATTAGAAAAGCATTCTGTTGGAGAAAGACATGCAATAAAACAGGAATTATGAGCCTTGATTTACTCACTACCCTGAAAATTCCATGTGTGTCAGGAAAACTTCCTTGCCTCCCTGGGTTTCGGCTTCTTCATTAAAAATGGTGGAGTTGCACTACCTTATCTCTATGGTTCTTTGCAGCTCTAACATTCAGTGATTCTGTCTTCAATGACACAATGATACAAGGAGCAATAGAAGTTGAAAATATCTGGTGAGGTGGTCTTTTAAGAGAAATTTGATTCCTGAGAATGGCAGAGTATTCTCTAAAAAGTGACTAGCCCAGGAATGACTTTGGGTGTTCTGGAAAGGCTTGAATTCACTAGCAGTATTAACATCAGAAAAAATGTCTGTACTGATTATGCCTCAGAGATCAGAGAGAGTTTTAGATAAAGTACCTGAAGTTTTGGGGAGAAGGGGAGAAGAAAATGAAGTTCTTTGAAACTCTATCCCTCATGAGAATTTAGATTACTTGATCCATGAGCCAGAAAAGAACCACTTCTAGGCTTCATTCGTCAAAGGGAAAAGTCACAAAGGATAAATAAGTGCTAAGATTAAGTACCACAAGCGTCTTCTGGAACTTCTGGTTTTCATCCTTGAAGGAGTTCTCCATGAAGATCGCAATGGCTTCCCTCTCACAGGCCGCGTGCAGGTCCAGCAGCTCCTGGAGCGTGTCTGTGGGGAACTTTACTCGCTGGGCCATCTGCTGGCTGTAGTGGTCAGCTGCCTTCTGCACAGCCGCTGAGTTCTCTTGCTCAGCCAGGGTTGTCACTGCGTTCTCCAAACAAGGCACCGCTCCACTGTTGATGGTGTCCACATAAGTCACCACCAGAGTTTTTAGCCCTAATAAGCCAGGAAATTTATCAAGTTATCACTCAACAGCTCAAGTTTCTGAGACTACATCTCTAAAAATCTGTTTCCCTCTCTCTGTGTCTCTGTCTCCCTGTCTCTCTCTCTCTCTCTCTCTCTCTCTCTGTCTCTCTTGTGCACACACACACATTGCCTCTTTCTACGTTGCTACACTTTTACAATAGGCAGTTAGTTAGCCGTTATCAAGAGAGGAGGGAGCGAAGGGAACCAGACATCTGATTAAGCCTGATTAAGTAGGAAGAAACAGCTTCAGTCACCCTGGGCAGTGACTGACATTGGAGTAACTGACATCGTTTTGCCAAACAAAACAAAAACATCCAAATAGGCAGGAGAGACAGTTTTTCAGCCCCACAGGGAAGTCTGCCTGACTAATGGGGGTGGGAGAAAGTGGTGCAGAGGGAATTCCCCTTGCTAAGTACATGCACAGTAGATGCCAAATGACCAAGCACAGCTATGAGGCATGTGCTTCAGGAACCAAAACGGTGAGCATAAAAGCCTAATGGCACAAGCCTGGAAAATGCCAAGAAAGAGATTTATTAGGGGGAGGGCACAGCACAAGCCCAGGAAAATTCAAGAAAGAGATCACATAGTTTGAAAGAAAGCCTGCTTTTTTCCAAACTCAAGATAATATATGGAAGCTAATGAACACTTCAGGCAAGCAGCTGCCCTCTAGACTGCCCACTCTCTATATCTCTGAGAGTTTACTTTTGCTTTCACTTTAATAAATCTTGCCACCATTGCTTAAAACTTTTTTTACATGAGGGACCCTGAAATTCTTTTCCCATGACATCAAAGAAGAACCTATTTCTTCTGGTAACACTATTGTCCCACTGACTTAATTTTTATGGTTCTTCATGTGACCAACAAACTCAATGCCGCTCTAGCCAAATGGTGCAGTTGGTTGGAGCATCATTCCATGCACTAAATTGTTGCAGGTTTGATTCCAAAGCTGGTTACATACCGAGGTTGTGGGATCAATCCCCAGTCATGACATATATGGAAGGCAACTGGTCCATATATCTCTCTCACATCAATGTTCTTCTCCCTCTCTTTCTCTCCCCCTTCCTCTCTCTCTCAAATCAATAAACATATCATCATCCAAGGATAAAAAAAAAAAAATTTAATGTCTACCTTCATCTAACATAGTAAAGGTATCTGGAAAACATAATATCCCATTAACAAATTGTTTACATAATCAGACATATGAATTAGAGTGAATGTGATTATATTTATTTCTAATTCTAAAGTTGCTAGTAAGTTTTCAGAAATATATGAGCCAATATTCATTACTGGACTGCTCTAAACTCTCAAAATACCTTTTGCATTCTCCTTTCAAATCACACTCATTATGAAGAACTTCTTTTGAGGAAATAGTATATTCTGTTTAATACCCAGTTAGTGACTTATTATCACTAGACGATTTTTTCATATATATCGATGATAATGCTTGTAATTTTGAAGAGGAATTTATAAACCCCCAAAAGTATGATAAATATACAGTTGTTTCATAGAGCATAAATATCTGCAGACCCATAATTTGACATAGAATCAAATAGAAATCCTGGAGAACACATCATGTAATATATTCAGCAAATATCAGACCTCACAGAATGTGAAAAGGAGACTCACGTTTCCCAGTGACCATGATTCCCTCTCTTAGGGTTTTGGTTCTCCCCTGGGTGAGGATGTAAGAACAGAAATTCTTTGTTTGTTCCTGGAATTTAGGATCCAGTTGGTATTCTGCAACATTCTCAATATTGGCTAAGAGTTCTTTGTCATTAGTAGGCCTATCAAAGACAAAACACTTTCTTTTTGGAAAGAAATGCCGGATGCACTCTCTGGGAAGATTGGATATTTGGGCTTTGGGATTCCTGCCTGAAAGACAAAAAACAAGAGATCACAGTAGGAACAGTGTGAGGACAAGGGACCTAAAGAGTATTATGAGAAATTTTTGTATCTTTGCCACATTCTATGTGCATAGTTTCATTTTATAACTCCTTTAGCATAGATATCCAATGCTTCTTTAAAATCAAATTTACCAAGGATATGACTCTGGGGAGAAATTTTGGAAGATATCAAACATGGTAAAAAAATCTATTGCTGTTATCAGGCCTAAAATGGTAGAGCATTGTCTACGTTGTATATGTGGATTACTAGATGAATGACTAACAGAAAAATAAGTCAAATGTGGAAAATGTGGATTCCATGTGGAAATGGAACTGTGAGACCAAAATGAAGAGCCATAAACAAGACAATAAAAAAAATATTAGCAATAATACCCAGATTATTTAAGGAAAACTGTTTAGATGCCAAAAAAAAATGTGTACAGCATTAGCTTTAAAAAAAAAAAACCTCTGAAGAGTAATTATAACTAAAATGCAATTTTAAGATGTCACCACTAATCTCTAAAGTCTTTAAGATAAAAAACTATATTGGTTTAACAGTGCTGCTCTTCTGCCTAGCCAATCTCTCATTTATTTTGAGAAAGCACAAATAGAATCATGAAGACAAGAATGAATAAATCAGAATTGATATTCCTTTCAAGGTTTCATCAGATACATACACACCCATGGAAATAATTTATTATTTTAGAAATTATATCATGGATAAATATGTGCAAATTAAAAAAACTATGATATAAATAGAAAAAAATTAACTGTAAAAATGTCCATATTTCCCAAAGCAAGCTATAGATTTAATGCAATCTCTATCAAAATACCAATGATGTTTGCACAGCACAAAAATAAATAATCCAAAACTTATATGGAATCGCAAAAGACCCCAAATAGCCAAAGAAATCCTGAAAAAGAAGAACAAAGTTGGAGGTACCATGCTACCTGATATCAATAATATACTACAATCCTGTAGTAATAAAAACAGCATGGTGCTGGAACAAAAACAGACACATAGATCAATGGAACAGAATAGAGAGCCCAGAAATAAACTCATACTTATCTTATCTTTGGCAATTAGTATATGCCAAAGGAGGCAAAACAACATACAGTGGGGTAAAGAAAGGCTGTTCAATAAATGGCATTGGAAAAATTAGACAAATACATGCAAAAATGAAACTATATCACCTTCTTATATTACATACAAGAATAAACTCAAAATGGATTAAAAACTTAACTGTTAAAGAATCAAAACCATAAAACTCCTAGAAGAAAATATAGGCAGTAAAATCTCAGGCATTACTTTTAGCAATATTTTTTCTGAAATATCTACACTAGGAAGGGAAACAAAAACATAAAATAAACAAATGGGACTACATCAAACTAAAATTTTTTTGCACAGCAAAGGAAACCATCAACAAAATGAAAAGACACCTACTGAATGGATGACAATATTGGTCAAAATGCAACCAATATGGGATTCATATCCAAAATATATAAAGAACTCAAACAACTCAACATAAAAACAAACAAAACAATTAAAATGTGGGCAGAGAACCTGAATAGGCACTTCTCCAAAGAGGACATAGAGAGGTCAAAAGGCATATACAAAGATGCTCAACATCACTAATCATCAGAGAAATGCAAATTTAAGCCACAATAAGATTTCCCCTCACACCTGTCCAAATGGCTCTTATCAATACAACAACAAACAGCAAGTATTGGTGAGGATGTGGAGAAAAGGGAACCATAGTACACTGTTGATGGCAATACAGATTTGTGCAGCCACTATGGAAAACAGCAAGGAGATTCCTCCAAAAATTAAAAATAAAACTGCCTTATGACACTGCAACTTTACTTCTGGTTATATATCTAAAGAAAACTAAAACACTAATTCCAAACAATATAGATGTACCTCTATGTTCATTACAGCATTATTTATAATAGTCAAGACATGGACATAACCCAAGGGCCCAAAAATAGACAAGTAGATAAAGACAAGATGGTACATGTAGACAATGGAATATTACTTGACCATAAAAAAGAGTGAACCCTTACCATTTGTGACAGCATAGATAACCTACAGGATAGTATGCTCAGTGAAATACATCAAAGAAGGACAGATCTCATATGATTTAACTTATATATGGAATTCAAAGAACAAAATAAACAAACAAAATAGAAACAGATTCATAGATACAGAAAACACACTGATGGCTGCCAGAGGAGAGGAGTGTGGGAGGGCTGGGTGAAAAAGGAAAAAGAGATTAACAAATGCAAATTGGATGTTACAAAACAGTCATGAAGATGTAAAGTACAGCATAGGGAATACAGTTAATAATATTGTAATAACTACTTATGACGCCAGGTGGGTACTTCAAATACTGGGAGGATTCCTTTGTAAAGTATATGACCTTTAACCACTATGCTATACACTTAAAAATAATATGATACAATATTGAATGTAAATTTTAATTGAAAAAATAAAATTTATTTTTAATAAATGAAAAGCTAAGATATAGAAATTAAAATGTATAGTCTGATAATTACCAAAAATATCATAAATGCATAGATTGAAAAGACAAAATATACTTCTTCAGATTTAGTAGAACATAAAGTCATTTTATAGACAATATATAAATACATTAAAAAGTTATATGTCTATTTTAGAAGAATAAAATTTAATTATATAAAAGGTATCTTTTTTTCCTTTGTTAATCTTTTCCTTGCAATTTTTTACCTAACAGTATCTGATGAGTTGTTTTCCTCAACAGGGAAAGCAGGAGCTAAAGTAATAAACATAAGTATCTGGTCTTCAGAAGGTTTTAGCACCACTATATTCTAGGCTAAGTTCAGATGTTAAATTAAAAATTGTGTAAAGAATAAATTGGCTATGAATAATTTTACTATACTTTAGGCTCTATTTATCTTAAGTGAACTTAAACTCCAGTCCCTAGAGCATTCCAGCCCATCTCCCAGCCACCATTTCTACAGGCTTCATCCAGCCTAAAATACAAGAGCAAACTCCAGAGATGACAGGCAGTGTTTAGCACCTCCCGCCCTGTATTGCACCGTCCACTGCCCAGTCATGCTCTGTCACCTGGAATCAGCTTCAAGGCATTCTCCAGGTACTCATCTTCTGTGATAGGGTGACCGTTTAACTTCAGCTCCAGGGTGAAATCCCGTACAGTCCAGATAAAGTCTGGAAAGAAACTCACAAACTCCAGGGAATCGTCTACTCCATCCGGTGCAGGGGAGGACTTTGTCCTGATGAGTTCTGTGAGTTCTGTCACATAACTAGGAGCTGGCTAAGGAAAAAAGCTTCCTACCCACAATTCCCACATTTCTGTAATAAAATATATATATATTATAAACACTCTTTTTTCCTCTGGTTCCTTCTGGTCCACCAATGGCAACTAATTGAGAGCAAAGGAGAAACTGACTGGATCTCCATTCCCACAAACTCAAGGACACATGGAGGCATGGCCCCGGAAGGATACTGCAGCTGCTCCAGGGCCTGTTGATTGATGGTGCCCATGCTGTTGTAGACAAAAGTGCTACACAGAAGCACGGCCAGGGCAAAGATCCATGAGTCATTCTTAGGGTTGCCCTAGGAAGCACAGTAAGGTCAGACATTTAGAAGTTTACATGTGGAAATTCATCCAGATACTAAGCCTATCAGTCTTTCATTTTTATTCCAACTAACATACTCACGATGCAAAGAAGTAAGTTTGAATACAGACATAAATACAAATATCAGCTTTGACAATTACAAAGGCATTTCTTGTGACTGCGATTTTTTTTAATATGTAAAAGGATTCTGGCATCACAGGGCGTTTTTGTTTTTTGTTTTTTTTATTCAATTGGATGAGATAAAATAACATATAGAAAAGCTTAGGGCAGTACCTATTGTACAATTAAGTTTAATGAAGGGTGTTAGCACATATTCATTCTAAAGGTATTTGTTGGTCATGGGTTATATAAAATATACCATAAGTAACATAACTGGGGATGTATTCAACCAATGTGAAACTACTGAACATTTCCATTGTTGTTAAATTTAAAAAGTGATTTAAAATTAAAAATGTTATCTTCCAGATGACTATTTCAAAGCTGACAAATATCTATAACAACGAATGCAACAAAGATAGTATCTGTAAGAACCGTACATCTTAATAATATAAAAGCACTGGGCCCTATAGCTATAATATTAAATTAAAATTTACAAGTCCATCAAAGAACAAAGCTCTGAAAGTTAGAAACTTGTATATAACCTAAAGTATTCCTCAGCATCTTGGCTGAAAATTAAGGGTTTGGTAGGATGCGAACTTGAAGAAATGAAGGTTATCCTGCAAGTAGAAAGACCCACAGAAGCAAAAGTAGACATGGCAGGATACAGGCATCTTTTTAATGAAATGAAGTTACTTGATTTGACTGGAACACAGTGTAGGCAAGAAGTTAAAATTTCATAGTGAGCCTACTGCAACCAGATGAAGGATCCTAAAGGCTGGGTTAATTTGTTTGTGTAAAATACAGCAGTGTCTAAATAATGACATAATAGAGTTTTTCCTAATATAAACAGTGTCTAAATTCATTCCTTAGCAAAGTTATAAAAGTCTAGAAGATGCAATAAGAAATTTTTAGAGGGAAACAGCAGTTTGTTAGTTTATCTTCCTAAACTTCAATTTAAAAAAATAATTAATTACAATAAGAAGTGGCACTTACAACAAACAATAGGCTATTTAGACAGCAAGACCACTGTTGGATATATGAAAATAAACACAAAATTTCTAACTCTTATTTGGGTAGAAATAGAGAGTTGTAGAAATATAGGTCCTATGTCCAAATAAGTCTCAAACTAAAGCAGAAAAGAGGAAATCATTCATTTTACCAAATAGTATAAAACTATACTATCAAAACCCATCTTAAAATGGTGTTGTAGGAAAAATACATGCTTTCATAGAATCAGTGTATTAAGAGATATGTCAAAGTCTCCCAGAATGCTCTGTGAATACTTGATGAACTTCACCATAGGACTGCAGACTCTTTGAGGGAAACACTTTTACTTTGGTCACTAGTATCTACAGTACTGAACTAGAGACCTGAGAATGTGGTGCTCAGCAATTATTTATTAAACTGAATCAAATTATTCACTCAGTGCCCAGAAATAAAAGAAAATCTTACTCAGTGTACCATGACACATTACCTAGAAGTAATATTCAAACAAACAAAAATGTGCCTGATACGTAGATGGATTTGGGGTTTCACATAAAAATGAAGCTGTTAAATTAAAGAGTTCATTATGAGAATATCCAGATTAAACACAATTTATCTGTGACTTTCTGCCTCACCTTTTCCACATCACCCAGGCCCTCAGTGTCCAGAAGGACCAGGGTGTGGTTAGGCTTAGAGGGGTGCGGCACACACCACATCCAGATGCCCTTGGTTTCAGACTGCACCGTAGAGCCCAGAGGGAAACCTATAGCAGAAGGAGAGACCCAACACACAGTGACAACAGATAATCTAAGCAACCAAGGGGTTACAAAGTCAAACTTGTTGGAATGTTAGTAATTGAGAATATAGGATGGTGCTTTCTCTATTTTGTAAGAAAATGCCCTACTTTGTGCGCCATCTACTTCAAGGAGAAAATGAATGTTAACTGTGGCTCAAGGGTTCAAGCTGGAGATGAGAGGCATCCATGAACCAGACATAATGGAGGTACCTGATAACCATCATAAGAGCGTTTTAAAAGAATGGTCAAGTCCAAGCCAGATTAAAGTGGACAAAAGAGACAGCTAAAGAAAAAACAAAACAAAATAAAGAAATTGAGATACTATTTTGTCCAGTGAAAGTGATAAAAAATGGCAGCAGTTTGATGGAGGTTAGTGGCCACAGTGGGATATGCACTCATGATAGATATTCAAACATCTTTATATGTTGATTGGAATATTCCATAGAGAAAACAAAATGTGTCGTGAAAGGCAGGAGACACAATTGCAAGATTACGGTGCTCACACAGGTAAACTAAGGTAGGAATCTGCACATTAGTAGGAGAGATTTTTCCTTAACGGAATAAAACAAATTACATGGTAACCAAATACAATAAGGTAATAATTTAATGGTAAGAATTAGAATTAGAAGGTTTGTTTACTGAGAGGAGTTTAGCCCTCTCTTTGTGTAATCAGAAAAGAAAACTAATAAGCTGTAATAGAGAGTCAAAAAATGTCCCCTGCCTGAGGACAACACTCACCATGGTTCTGCCCTGCAAGACGGTTCATCAAGTAGGACTTGCCTGTGCGATACAGACCCACCATGGCCACGACCACCACTGGCTGAGCTATCTGGTCAAGAATCTGTACAGCTTCCTGATTCACTGACAGCTGCTCATTTTTGTTTTCCACCAGGCAAATGGGGGCCGTCATGTTGGGTCTAGGTGCCATGGCAACCTGCCAAACCTGAAAGAACATCCCAGTTGAAAAAAAGATTATAATGCCAGTCTCTGATGCAGCATTATGCAAAACACCCTTTATCTTAGGCTGTGTGAGTTTTCTGCTTTCTTTCTGGCACAGTATGCATGGGCTAACCCCTGCAATGAAAATTTCATCAATTTTTGGTTCTGCCCTTTCGGTGACTCTCTGCAAGGGCCAAAGTGCTCCCAAAGCCATGAGGATCTCAGAATGAATTTCATTGCTGGCACTGGGCCGCCAATTGTTATAATGCACTAGAGTGGCTGTACCCAACGTGAGGGTCATCATCACTGAGAAGCAAAGCTGTCACCTCATGAGAACATCCTCCCACCAAACTTAAGAATTAACCAGCTGCCATCAGGGCAGTGAAGCTGATGCCGAGGGAGGACCTGGCACCAGGATGACCCCAGAAACATAAGCCACGATTTGTTAGCCAGAGATTTCATGCATCTCTTCTGTCTTGTGGTCCTAGTTGTTGCGAACAGCTATGGAACTAGTGATGAGTATGACTAGTATTCATCAATATCTGAGGTTTAAATGGACAATTTGGTTTGACACATGACAGATCAATGAAACATAGTACCTACAGAATCACCTATGATATTCAAGGGACTGAATGAATTTGGAGTTCCAGAAGGGAAACAGCTTTTGATTTTTTTCATTTGTGAGAAGTCATCAAAATCCATTAGCCACAAAGTTTAAGTCATCCTCTGTTCAGGGAACTGAGTCATGGGATATTTATTTTGTTTTTCAAAATGAAATGTGCATCAAAATTAAGAAATAGATGAATGTTAAAAGCCAATAAAAGTGTATATTAATAAAATAGTTAATGACAAGACCTCCCAAGTCTGCACTCTCTTGTACTGTTAAAAATATCTATGTGAAAATATTAAGTGGGTCTGCATAATTCCTGGGCATAGGTCTAGGAATTCCTGGACAAAGTCTAACTATAGGACTTTGTTAGGAAGGAGAAAGTACTACTTATTTTCCAGGAAGCTTTTTGAACCAGTGATAAATCTATCCTAATGCAAACTATAAGTAGGAACATCGAGCTCATGGATAATGAAACTGCCTCCAACTTCCCCTCTTAAAGAGCCGGAAGACCGTGATCTCTCATCTCTCCATGCACCAATCTTTGCCTCTCCTCTTGCCGCTGTCCTGGCTACGTGACATGATGCGAGCTTTCACCTCACAGTTACCTCTGCCCCAAATGGAGAAGCTGAGCTTTCCCAGAACTGAAGCCACAACTGAACTCTGCAGTCCGGACTATCAGGCTGCACAGGTGCCCTTACCAATTCATTCCTGAGACCGTTTTGAATCAGAAATTGAGCACTTTAAGCTCAAGACCAAGTTGCATGCAAACAAAAGCTGATGAATTAGCATGTTTGCCCCACAGCTCCTCAGGTTAGTGTGTCCAAGAACGACCTCCCAGTTTTTTCTCACTCCTTCTTGCTCCCTTTCCTCCCACTTTTATGTTGCTAGTTTATATAAGTTAAAAACAGAAATATTTTTATTCTTACAAAGGAAACAGAACAAAACAACTGAACCTAAAAAAGTAATTTGTTTGGTAGGGATCACACATTTGGAAACTGCAGAATAAAAAAAGGCTTAGAGCTTATAGTTATTTTTAACAGTTTATTAAAATACTTGGGAACGAATTAATTTCATCTAAATACCACTTTATAAAATCTTTGAAACACTAAATATGGTTAATACAATAAAGTATGTCTTAATATTTAATTGTATGTCGAGGACCATTTTTTTCTCTGTTTTCCCACGGTCCGAAGGGGAAATGAGGCGCGGAGGAGGAAGCTGGGCAAAGCGCCTCCTAACGGTGCCTTTCCGAGGACGAGGCCGGGTTTGCTTCCGCCGCCACAGACCGGACTTGAGCCCCAAGCAAGTGATTTAGGATGCACTCCTCCTCCGCCCATGTAGGGCTCCGTGCAGCCCTGGGTGGACACCCAAGAAGGAGCAGCACCTTCCAGGGACAAGGTGTGCCCGCCTTCCCCTTGCAGCAGCCTGGTATCCAACCAGAGCCGCTGGGCTCCCCAGAGCAGATCGTCCCGCGGGTCACCTCTCCTCAGGCCCTCACCCCCTGCCCGCTGCCTTCTGAGCTGCCAGTCCGGAGCCTGCACCTCCGGTGTGGGATGTGTGTCGGAGCGCGCGTTGTTGTTGTTAGTTAACGAAGTCGTGCACAGAAGACCAAGTCTAGGAGCTAACTTACGCGTCTCCGACACAGCAACAGGGACAAGGTCTCTCAGCTCTCTTGGCTCTCCCCTCGCGCGCGTCTCCTGCGTCTGATTCTTTCGGATACCGGCTGCTCTTTTTAAAAGCCGAAAATCCGGGCGGGGTATTTCAGATAAACAGTTCCAAATCAGGCTGAGAAGAACAGAACCGAAATCGAAAGGCTATATACCCTTTCCCGTGACGTAACTGTTGGGTGTTCATCCCCTTTCTCCTTCCATCCGAAGGCATGAAAGGGTTAGGGAGAGAGCAGTCCTGTTTCTTCCACACGCAGCTTCAGAATCCCAGGCTGGTCCCTCTTCCTCACTTGGCTTGTGTTCCTTAATCCCGCAATGAACACAGATTAGCAGGGCTGAAAGGCCCTAACAGCAGGCTGACAGAAGTCAAGAGCCTGTTCCTCATGGGTACTCTCTGTAAAGCAATAAGGCAATAAAGCAAAAATACATGTATGTTTTATATGTTTCTGAGCCCTTCGTATCTCTTCCTTGGAGAAGTGTCTGTTCATGGCCTTTGTCCTTTTTTTACTTAGATTATTTATCTTCCTGGAGTGGAGTTTCAACACAATTAATATTAAAATAGCAATAGCATATTTCACAGATATAGAACAAATATTCCAAAAATTTATATGGATTCAAAAAAGACCCCATATAGCCTCAGGGGCGTATGCAAGAGGCAACAAATAAATGCTTCTCTCTCACATCACTGTTTCTCTTTCTCTCTCTCTCTCTCCCCTCTTTCTAAAATCAATAAGAATGTCCTCAGGTGAGGATAAAGAAAAGAAAAGAAAACAAAGTAAACCTATTTTGTGACTAAAGTTTTATAATTTTACCTTATTTATAATTGATCTAGATATTGAATGATTCATTTAACAATAAAACTCTAAGGTTTCAAATTGTCAAAAGATTTGGTAAACATTTTAAAGTACATATATCAGACCTCATAATTGTTGCTAAAAAGTTTTACTTAAAACCTGTCACTTTATTTACAACTGTTTAAATGTATTGCTTTTAACAATTGTTTATATTACTCATGAAAACTTTATGAGCCACTAGGGAAATTATCACTTCAAGCTATTTTTTCCTACTGTCAAGTAAATTTATTTGAGTTTTAGTACGCCTGCGTAGACTAAAAGGACTAAATTTAATGTTGATAACTCTAAGTCATGTCTGTTTTAATTAAACCAACAGATTTAAATAAGCTTTAATAGCCAATATTTTTTCAGAACTTAGACAACATTTGCATTAGTTTCTGTTATATAGCTTTAATTCATATAAGTTAACTCCTTTAAGCCCATTAAACAGACCTCTTTCAAACACTGATTTTTCTAGTAATACCATTCAGAGGTAGAAAATACCATATCATACATTAAACATACAAACACAAAGATCACAACCACAGATTACAAACACAGAACTACTAATATTTGTAAAGAAGTCATTTAAAACTTTTCATTTGTCTTTCACAAACAACTTTTAAGGAGGCTGGTGGGGGGCCAAATTTAGGCAAGGGAGACTTTTCAGCTGCTTGTACTTTTAAAAAGCCACCTGCACTATTTTTTCCTTAGGTTCACTCAGTGTCAGGCAATTGTGGGTTGCATGTTCATTTCTTATTATCCACAAGGAGGGCCTGGGGAATAGCTGAGGAGGCTTTAAAAAATTCCTATCAGACTTTGAAAAATCACTTTCCAACTTTGCGAAAGCTGATTATAGAGTTATTAAATTCCTTCATGTGTCTTTTCAGGTTTTGGACAAGACAAATGTTAAGTATTTCTTATGGTATTAAATAATTCCACGGATGCATGGCAGTGCCAAGTTTATTATCTTTTAGAGCCATTCCCTCTAATAGCCAAAAGTAAGAACTGATAGCCTGCGTGTCCCAGGCAACAGAAAGTCAAACCAAGCCCTCAAAAAGATGACTTCCTACATGGGCAGGTAAACATATAAAAATATAAATGCAAAAAAAAATGATAATCTCTTCTAGAAGTAGAACCAAAAGCTATAATGTAAAAGAAAATGTGTTGAGTCTAATAAATGAGAATAAACACTGTGCAAGATCAGAGCAAGAAGAGGATATGTCTTCCTGGGAAAAATAGCAGTAGGTCAAAAATAGTTGGCTTTAAAGAGGTTATAGAGCGCGGTGAGGCTCAGTGGATTGGGCGTCATCCCGCAAAACAAAAGGTCACTGGCTTGGTTCCCAGTCAGAGCACTTGCCTGAGTTGTAGGCCAGGTCCTCAGTTAGGGGCATGCAAGAGACAACTGATCAATGTTTCTCTCACTTATCACTCTTTATCTCCCTCTTCCTCTCTGCCTCTGTCTATATGTGTATTATGTGTATATATATAAAGAAACTATAGAATTTAGACATATAGATGAAAGAATCCACATACCTGTCCTCTTTGATATTTACATATACACTGTGAGTTAGGCCGTATTATACCCACTCTGCAAATGTTGTAGAGAAGTTCGAAAAGTTAGGATTTTCCCCAAAGGTGCATAGTGAATAAGTGTTAGACCCAAAAATTGAAACCCGGATGATATTTTTCATTATGACTTGCTCTGCAACTGCTAAAAGGCAGAACAGTTATTAAAACATTGATTGATTATCCTGTGTACTCCTTGATCAATAAACTACAGGGACTCTGTTGATTCTCCTACACCAACATCACTCTTTCTAAACAGTAGTGTAGGACTATACGGACTCCTTTTGTTTCAGCACAGTCAGGCCCTTTTCCTACAAGCTCAGCAACTCCAGATCGGGTTCTTTCCTTGTATGACTAGTTCCTCATCCGGAGTTCCAGTTCACTTCATGTTTTGTAAAAGTATCACTTTCATGTTTTTATGTCTCAATTCAAGAATCCAAATTTGCCAAGTGTATTCTCTCTTGCTTTCCTAAATCTACTTCAAGACAAATAATTTTCTATTTTTAAAAAATTAATTTATAAGTCACATACATAAAGAAAAGTATGGAATTATACTCTTACAATAGCTGATGTTTAAATAGTAGTAATGATCTTTACCATAAGCAAAGTCAAGCAATTGATTATTACCTATAAAACTAAGAAGCTTTGAAATGTAATGAAAGGTTAGAGAGAGTATATTCTATAATTTTCAGTGTATAGTCCTTGCATATGTTTTTTAGAATTATTCCAGGATATGCTCTTTTGTTTTGTTTTGTTAACTTTAGTGAAAATATGTATTGGTTTTCTATTCAGTGTTAGAAGTTATCACAACCTTAGGGCTTAAACAACAAAGCTTCATCTTATGGTGTCTGCAGATTAGAAACTGGACTCAGCTTAGCTGGACACTTTGCTCAGAATTTCACAAGGTTGAAATTAATTTATTAGCCAGGCTACATACGTTTTAGGATTTTCCATCTTATGTTTTAAATGGCATCATTTATTTCTGCTCTTCTCTTTATAATTTCCTCACTTTTGCTTACTTTTGGTTTGGTTGATTGTTTTCTCTTGGTCTATTGGTTGGGTTTTTCACCTCTAGAATTTCTATTTGATTCTTTTTATTTTTTTAAAAAAGATTTCATTTATTTATTTTTAGAGAGAGGGGAAGGGAGAGAGAGGGGAAGAAACATCAGTGTGTGGTTGCCTTTCTTGTACCCCCTACTGGGGACCTGGCCTGCAACCCAGGCATGTGCCCTGACTGGGAATTGAACCAGCATCTCTTTGGTTTGCAGGCCAGCATTCAATCCACGGAGCCACACCAGCCAGGGTATGATTCTTTTTATAATTTTTATTTATTAATATTCTGTATTTCATGAAACATTCTCATGCTTTCCTTTGGTTTTGATACATGGTTTCCTTTTTAGTTCTTTCAACATATTTACATAAACTTTAAGAATATACATGCATACATAAGTGTACACTTCATAAATATACAATTTTAGGAATTTTCAAAACTGAACACACCATCATTGCCAGCATCCAAATATAAAACTCAGATTGTGACAGAACCCCGTTATTTCTCATGCTCTCTTCCAATGTTACCAACTCCCATACTTCCAAACAAAACTAACCACTATGTGCCTTAGCGCTTTATTTAAGTGGAATCATAAACAATATATCCTCTAGTATAAATCATATTTTTTCAATATTATGATTTTAAGGTTAGTCCACATATTTCTGTATAGCTGTAGATAATTTATTCTCATCGTTATACAGTATTTCACTCTATGAATACAACATAATCTATTTATCTATACAAGTGTTCATGTATATTTAAGCATTGTCTAATTTTTTACTGTTATGAAATTTCTTGCGCATATCTTTTAGTTTACACGTGTGCAACTTTTTGTGCATATACATAGAAAAGGATAAAGTACAAGCATATGTGCAGCATCAGCAGATACTGTCAAAAAGTTTCATAATTGTACTAATTTGTATTTATTTTCACTACAGTACATAACATTCCATGTTCTCCACAGCCTCATCAGACATAGATATTATCTTCCTGATTTTCAATGGCAAATGTGTAGTGGCAACACATTATAATTTTAATGACTCATTTAATTTAGCATTTTTTGTATGTTTATTGGTAATTTGATATCTGTTTTCATTATTTTGTCAGAAAAATGATGTCATATAAAATGTAACCAGTTATATTTCTTCTTTCATGTGATTTTTTTACTATTGTGTGTAAATGCACATATTCTTGCATAACTGTATTTATGGATACAAATATAACATTTGGATTTGCCTATTGAAACACATTTAGACTACTTTCATTGTTAAAATATTCCTAAAACCACCTCTAATATTTAGCAGACATAATCTGTAGCTCATCCTCCAGTACCTACCTTAGAGACAATCTAATGCTGGAAGCCCAGTCTCCAACACATGAAATATAGTAAAGGATTTAAAACAGTCCAAGAATGCATGGCTGAACTTCCATTTCCTTCCCTAAAATTCTACTCTCAGAGCTCTTTTTTGTTTGCTATTTCATGATGGACTTCTTGAGTCTGCTTAGGTATTTATTGGGATAAAATCCCATTTCTCTAATTCAAAAATATTGTCTCAACACAACATCCTAAAGGGGAAAGCAGATTAAGGAGTGA